ATTTATTTTCTCGATCTTCACTGCTTTTCGTCGATTTTTTCGTTGTTCTTCCCCGGAAAATCGGAGTAAAAATTTCCCGAAAATCGATAAAATAAATCCGAAAAAATATTTTTTTTTTAGGTTACTGTAGTTGTCGGTGTGGGACCTTCGGCCACGGCCACCTGCGTTTCTCTTCCATTTCTTGCCAAAATAAAAGAAAAAAACATTTTACAGATTTCATAATACCATTACAGGTTCACACATCATCTGTTTTAAGCATGAGCAATAGATCATTGAACGATTGGAACGAACGCCAGCATTGCTAATCGTAAACGTTACATTTTCGATTAAAAGATACATATTTCGACATCTTTCGGAAAATTCTCGCTTAATGGGCGGAACCGATGTGTTCATAAAAATTTACAAATATTTTTCTGTTGATAACACCTTTGAAAATTTTTGTTCGTGCCCAAACACAAGCCGTTTGATAAGACAAGACACTTTTTTCTGTGTGTGTTTTCAATTTTTTGTTTCACTTTTTTCTTTTTTTTTTGTTGCGAATTTCAGCTTTTTTCGTTCGGAAAACAGGCGGAAATTCATTTTTTACTCAAAAAACTACGGTAGTTTTTTAAAGGAATATCTTCAACAGGCTTGGGTCTCGACACGCTTCCGCTTTTTCGCGTTTTTTTTTCAATTTTTTGCAGATTTTTCTAGTTTTTCAAGCAAATTTTTTGATTTTCAGCCAAGAAAATGTCTTCAACAGAGAATAGAGAAAACGAGAAACCATCGAAGCATGCGATTCTCGACGCGAATCGCAATGAAATGATGGAAAAGTGGGAAAATCTGAAAATTTAAATTAAAAAAAAAATATTTTTTTAGGCGCCGAGCAGATTCCGAAGAAACGATTGAAGATGAAGACGTTGACGACGTCGAAGATGAAGAAGAAGAAGAATATGATGACATACGCTTCGTTGGAGAAGAATCTTCAGATGAGGAAAATGAAGAAGAGGCAGAAGAAGACGACGAAGACGGAGACTTGACAGCTGGAGACGTGGCAGCTTTTAATGACGATTCTGAGAAGCCAAAGAAGAATCAGGTAAGGCTTGGAGAATCGGAAATTCCTAAAGAAACTTCGTGTCTGCGTCTCTTATCACTCTCTTCCTCACCATTCAATTCTGCTGTGTGGCTATCTTTTTTTCCCATACTAAACACCACTAAATGAATAATTGAGTAAATAGTAATTCTTACCAGAATTCCCTTATCACCTAACTCTCTTCGCAGGTTCTAACCCTCGATCAACTCGAATCAGAAATCACCGGCATCGTCACCGACGTCAAGAACATTCTAGAAGTCTCACCAGGCGTCGCACAGATTCTCCTTCTGAAATTCTCGTGGAATAAGGAACTTCTTCTGGAGAAGTTCTACGAAACATCGGACATCCAGCAATTCATGATGGATTATGAGGTGATTCCAAATGCAATGGAAGAGTTACCACAAGAAGAGTTTGGCGATTGTATGATTTGTTTCGAGAATGTTCTTCTTGTTGGATTGGCATGCAATCATTTGTTTTGCTTTGGATGCTGGAATTCGTATTTGACAGAGAAGATTATCGATGCAAAACAGAGTGAGATTACGTGTATGCATGGAGGGTGCAGACTGTTGCTTCAGCAGGAACAGGTAGGGACATCCGGACAGACAGATGCATGGAATTAAAAAAAATCAGATTTTCCGAGTTTTCTGCTCCTTTAAAGCTATTTTGAAGCCCCCTTTTAGACATATTTTGAAGCTCTGAACGAGCTAAATTCAACAATTTTATTAATTTTGTTGCTGGCCTAGAAACCAGGCTTGTTCGGAAAAACAAATTCGGAAAATCTTGTTCTCGAATTTTTTCTCGACTTTTTTTTTCGGAAAATCGAGTTCTCGAATTTTTTCTCGACTTTTTTTTCGGAAAATCTTGTTCTCGAATTTTTTCTCGACTTTTTTTTCGGAAAATCGAGTTCTCGAATTTTTTCTCGACTTTTTTTTTTCGGAAAATCGAGTTCTCGAATTTTTTCTCGACTTTTTTTTTTCGGAAAATCGAGTTCTCGAATTTTCTCGAATTTCAATTAGTCAAAAATTACCAGTTTATTTGACAAAAACAACAAAAACAACAAAAAGCACAAAAATGAAATGGAAAACAATAGATGAACAAGCACAAGTAACAAAAAGTAACAAAAGTATTAATTGAAAAAGTAACAAAAATAACAAAAGTATTAAAGTCTAAAAATTTCGTTAAATTCAGACAAAGTTACTCACTGCAAAACCAACAATTTTAAGAAAAACTTTTGATGACCTAAAGTCTGAAAAAAACCAAGTGGTTTCAGTGAGAGAAGGTAAAAAATCACTGAAAAATAAAAGAAGTCTATTAAGAACAGTATAAACCGAAAAAATGTTGAAAAAGTAATGAAAACCCTGATTAAAGTATGTTTTCATTCAAAAAAAAATTAATTTTTAAAAAATTCACCTTAATTCGACCCCGTAAATCGACACCGATTGCGGGTCTCGCCGCGCTTGGGTTACTGTTGCACCCGTTTCAACTATACAAAGTAGAGATTTCCTCTTCACTTTGAACGCAGCATGATTATTTCGAGAAAAAATGTTCCGACGGAAAAATTTTCCGAAAAAAATCGGAAAAATCGAGAACTCGATTTTCCGATTCCGACCAAGCCTGCTAGAAACCCCAAGAACGAATTTCTAGGCCATCAAGTTAAATATGCTCTAAAATGCTCTTCTTCCAGATTTCCTTCTACATCACTGATCCAGTCGTGATGGCTCTCTATAATCGTGTTGTTGTCGATAGCTACGTGGCAACGAATCGCTTGTTGAAATGGTGTCATGGAGCAGATTGTGACAATGCTCTCAAGGTTTGGATTTTGCCTTTTTGATGAATTACGGTTCTTCTAAGGCGCACGCGGGTCTTGTCCAGAATTAGCTATTAATACTTTCCGCGTTTTCAGAATAGGTTTTTTGCCCTTTTGACATTCAGAAATTTCAGAATTTCTTATTTTTGAAAATCGGAATATTCCGAAATTCTGAAAAATTTCACAAAAGCCATTCCGAACACCCCTAGACCCTTTTCTTCAATTCAATTTATTTCCAGGTAACTTTGAAGTCCACTCGCCACGTCACCTGCAATTGTGGCTCTTCATTCTGCTTCTCATGCAACCAGGACTCTCATGAGCCAGTCCCCTGTCGCCTCCTGGTCCTCTGGACCAAAAACGACCAGAAAGACGACGCGGAATCATTTAAATGGATTCTCGGCAACACGAAAGAGTGTCCAAAGTGTCAGGCGCCGATCGAGAAGAACGGCGGATGTAATCATATGACGTGTAATAACAAGAGTTGCCGACACGAATTCTGTTGGCTGTGCATGGGAAATTGGATCGGACATCAGCAGTGTAATGTGTCAGTTTTTCAATTTTTTTCGAAAATTAGATAATTTATAATGGTGGCCTAACTTTCGCAAGTTTCTAGGCCATCATGTTGAAAGAGCTTTGAAAACATATCAGGTGAATATAAAGCTATTTCTAGGCCATTTAGCTTCGTAGCCTAGAAAACTCACTTGCAAAAGTTAGGCCACCATGGTAGGTGCCAAAAATTGCCCTGTTAGCCATTTAGCGTGGTGGCCTAACGTTTACAAGTTGAGTTTTCTAGGCCACCATGGTTAATGGCCTAGAAAACACACTAGGTGAATATCAGGTCGTTTGTGAGCCATGAAAGTTGGTGGCCTAGAAATATCTTCGTGAGAAAGTTAGGCCACCGGGTTTTCTAGACTCTTTTACCATGGTGGCCTAACTTTCGCAATTTGCGTTTTCTAGGCCACCATGCTGAGCGACCTGGAAATGCCTTTTTCGTTTTCAGATTCGTCGCGACTGGTGACTCGAATCGCGAGAAAACTCTCGCCAATCTTCAGAGATTCGAATTCTTCAAAACTCGATATTTGGGTCATCAGCAGAGTTTGAAGCTCGAAAATGATGTGAATACAGTAACCTAAACATTTTGTTTTTTTAATTGACTTTTCGTGCGTTTTAAGTCAATTTTTTCACTCTCAAAAGTCGGAAAATTGTCTTGAAAAAGCACAAAAACTGAGGAAATCCACTCAAACCCCCCCTTTCTTAATACTAAAAAATATCGATTTTTGCAGCTCCGCACAGATATCAGACATAAAATGAGACAACTCAAGGAGTTCTTCGACCTGACCACATTTCAAGTGATCTACCTGGAGAAGGCTCTTAACGCCCTGACAGAATGTCGTCGTACTCTGATGTACTCTTACATCTTCGCCTATTACCTTGAGCCCAACTTAAATTCGAAGATTTTCCAGTTAAATCAGCGGGATTTGGAATCGGCCACTGAGCAATTGTCGGAGATTTTGGAGAGAAAATTGGAAGAGGACGATTTGGAGTCGTTGAAGCAACGAGTCACGGAGAAGTATCAATACGTGGAACAGAGAAGACAATCTCTGCTGGATCATTGTGCCGAAGGAGAGGAGAATGATTATTGGGCGTATCATGCATAACATTGTTTTTTTTCTGTAATCAGCTGACCTAGATTCTCAACCTGAAAAAATCATAATTTCATAAATTGTACTGTAGTTATACTCTTTCACTTGTAATAAAGTTGTTTTGGTAGCGAAAAATTTTGGAATTTCCCATCACAAAAGCGCAAAAAGCATACATACTGTAGTCTAAAAAGCCCTAATTCCGAAAAAAAGCGGGCACTGGTCAAGTTTCAAGTGCGTCCTAAGATGCGAAGGTGGGCGGAGCCTAGGTTTTTCAGCCAATTCTTTAAAGACACCTTTAAAGGATCTTGTTATTTCGTAGCTAGTTTTTCCCGATTTTTGATTAATCTTATCGATTTTTCGGGGTTTTATTCAAAAAAGCTCCGATTCGATGAAATTCTTCTACAAATTGAACAAAATTCCATATTTTTAAATTCACTTTTTTCGATTTTCAACATTTTTTTCTGACAAAAACCCCGGAAAACTCGCAAAAATTGCATTAAAAATTCTTATTTTTCGATAAATCTCATCGATTATCAGATATGTTTTCTTAAAAATCGGTAAAATCACTAGAAATCTCTAAAATACAACAGAAATTCATCGAAAAATCGAAAAAATAGGCCAGAAGACATTCAATTACGAGAAACCATGTTTTTTATTTATTCTTGTTCCTATTTTTTCGATTTTTATATTTTTCGATGAGCTTCATCGATTTTCAACTTTTTTACCGAAAAAACCCGAAAAACCGCTAAAATATTCTACATATTCTGATAAAAACGTTATTAGTTTATCACTTTTTGATATCTCTTACAGTAACCGAGATAATTGAGCTCAACGTGTAAGTATAAGTTATTTCTAAAAATCGCATTCTAGGCTGGCTATGATTTCGACGGTGGAGCATCGATTGGAGGTGGACAATCTCAGCAGTGCAGTAAGCTCCCAAAAAGATCATCAATCTCAAAATCTTGAATTCCAGACTGCGGGACACCTGCCACTAACTGCCCTCCTGGACCCCAAGGACCCCCCCCCCCGGGTCCCCCGGAGAAATGGGAACTCCTGGTACCCCTGGAACTGATGGAATGCCTGGAATGGACGCAATGAGACAAGTTTCTCATGTTAATAGGACTATATTGAGTTGTATTTGCTATATTTTGTAGTTTCCTCACATTTTAATACCTAGATCTAAAGTTATATTGGATTGTTTCAAGTGGCTTTATAATTATATCCACTTTTTTGTGTCATTTTTTCAATTTTTTCGAAATTTCTAAAATAAAGAAACGATAGCGGTATCAAATGATATTCATTAATTGACATTTCAAAATAGTATTTATGACAACCATATGCTGTTCATTCAATTTTCCCAGTTTTCGAAAAAAAACTCGAAAATAAAAGTGGCTTTATAATTATGTCCAGCAGTGTATCAGTCAATTTGGTTCAGCCGCTTAAAAATGTTTCTTTGAAACTGAAAAGTTTTTTATTAAATTTAATTATCAACAAATTCCAAAATATTAAGACTTGAAGAAAAAATAACCGCCTCCATCGGTCTTCTCATCGGCTCCACCTCCAATCGGTGTTCTCGGTGGACAAGGACAATATTGGGCGTCTTGGCCAGGCTGCCCATCGTCTCCAAGCGCTCCTGGCGCCCCATCACCTCCTGGCTTTCCGAAATTTCCAGGTGTACCTGCTGGTCCTTCGAGTCCTGGTTCCCCTTGAGTACTTTCTCCTGGTATTCCAACTGGTCCAGGTGGTCCGGGAGGTCCTGGTGGACCAGGCGGCCCAGGAAGGCTCACAGAGTGTAGTGCAATATCTCCTGGTGGGCCATCCATTCCCTTCAAACCATCTCTTCCGTCTATTCCTGATGGTCCTGGTGGTCCAGGGGGTCCTGGCAGTCCTGGAGTTGGCCCTTCTCCTGGATTTCCAGGGATTCCAATTTGTCCATCATATCCTGGAGGTCCATCGGGTCCAGGGGGTCCAGGTGGTCCTTGAGGGCATTTCACACATTCTCCATTCGTTGCTTCCATAGCCATTTGTCTCATTGCGTCCATTCCAGGCATTCCATCAGTTCCAGGGGTACCAGGAGTTCCCATTTCTCCGGGGGACCCAGGGGGTCCTTGGGGTCCAGGAGGGCAGTTAGTGGCAGGTGTCCCGCAGTCTGAAATTCAAGATTTTGAGATTGATGATCTTTTTGGGAGCTTACTGCACTGCTGAGATTGTCCACCTCCAATCGATGCTCCACCGTCGAAATCATAGCCAGCCTAGAATGCGATTTTTAGAAATAACTTATACTTACACGTTGAGCTCAATTATCTCGGTTACTGTAAGAGATATCAAAAAGTGATAAACTAATAACGTTTTTATCAGAATATGTAGAATATTTTATCAGTGGACAGATTTTTGGTATCTCTTATAGGAGCCGAGATAAATGAGCTCGAAGTATAAGTTTACAATTGTCAGCTACCTGTTTTCTTGTTCTTCCCAAAACTTCCGAATTTTCCAAATCCCGCCGTGCCAATATTCTCAATGGATTGCCCTCAGAAATGTGCATCATTTTCCAGGCGTCATCGAAATAACCCTGAATATGAAATTCAAAAACATTAAAAGAAAACAGTAGTGCAAAAATTTTCGGTTTCATGTGAAACTGTAAAATTTTTGTCTTACTCACCTACCGTAAATGCTCTAATAGAATCCCGTGCACTTTGAGCTCAATCATCTCGTTTCCTATAAGAGGTTTCAAAAATGTGTCAACTGATAAATTGTTTATCATAATATCTCCGATATTTTATCAGTTGACAAATTTTTGATATCTCTCAAAGGAACTCAAAGTGCACGCTCAAAGCTCACAGTGCATGGCTATCTATTAAAGCATTTACGGTATTCGGTTTAGCAGTTTAAAGGATGCCAGACATAAAAAAAAGGTTTTCCTGATATTTTGCCAAGAGAACCCCCATGAGGAGTTGAACTCATGTTGGACAGCTCAGGAGCTACGGGGGCGCGTAGGCGCCTGCCGACCGATGGCCTACATAAGCGCGGTGCGATTTCGTCCCCCAAACTGTCCCCCAAACGTTCTGCTGTCTGTCCCCCTTTAAGAATGTTTCCTCTAGAATCTCTAATCCCTAATATTCTGGAAAACCTCAAAATCCCACCTTGAAATCCCCTAAATCTCCTGCAACTTCACTATGAAACTCGTTGATTCCAATGAGAATTGCCACAGAAATACACAGGGATCCAAATATGGAAATAGCAGAAATAAGAATAATAAAAGTGGCTAGCCGAATCATTTGGGAAAAGATAAAAATATCTAGAAGTTTCCGAGGTTTTTATACCGAATCCCAGTTATTTGGTCAAGTTCTAAAAAGAAGAAAACCGGAAAATTGGGTTAGAATTAGTCATAAAAGTAGCCAAATCGGGCCCTAATTGTGAAGTTGTTAAGAGGAGGAGGAGAACGGATACCAGTTTCCGTTTACTTTACCTCTTTTTTTATGGAATTAAGTGGATAAAACATTTTTCTGGGGCATCTTCTAGATCAGATAGGATTTTGAATCAAAAATTATGAAATTTTTTCCAGAATTTTCGAAACAGTAATGTTTTAGAAACAAAATTCATAACTCTGGATTGCCCTTAAAAATAGAGTCTATAGCAAAATTTCGAGCTAAAAAAAGTTCTTCAAAAGTTCGTGAGAAATTGTAGAATTTCCAGAATATTTTTAACGGGAACGTACAAATATTTCTAGTTTCAAACAACACGATTTTGACGTTTCCCCTCTATTACAGGTGCCCTTCTATTTTTTCCAGCTTTTTTTTTGGGCCATTCTAATACAGGTTTTACAGTATAGGAAATTGTGAAAAAAAAACAAAATAAAACAATTGAAAACATCGAATGAATGTATTCATAGTCAAAAAACAAGCCAGGATAATTACCTGCAAGGGGATTCTAAAAATAATATTTATCAAACTTTGAAACAGAAAAAAGTGCGGATAACAAAATGGTCAACATTTTGTTAGTTGACTTCTTTTGGATATCTTCATCAGGAATTGAGATAATTTGGGTAAAACCTAAAAAATCCTCCTTTCTTCCCTCCTTCAAAGTATCTCCCTTATACAAGATGTGATATAAAATTTTATTGAAACATTCAAAAACTTTACCTGAAACAGTGATTTTTGAACATGGAAAAAATGAAGAGAAGGACAATGAATTGGGAGGATTCGAGTGTTCGTTTTTCGAATTATTTCGAAATAAAAGAGGTATAATGAAATTAGAGTTGCAAAAATAAAGATTAATCCAACATTAATCCAACAAAAACATGAACAGTTTGAAAGTGATGACATCATCAAGTTGGAGAAGTCTAAATTAAAGGCATACTTGCATATGGGCCCAAAACATGCCCTGGCGGGCTATGTCATAGCTCTTTTCACGATTAATATTTTTTGACCAACTGAATTAGCTATGATAGAACTCGACGAGCACTATGAAATGATACTATTTGGGACACTATCATAAAAAGTTACAAGCCATAGAACTGCAAATCCGGGCCGGATCGGGCCCTGGCGATTTTTTTGGCTTGTTTGGTCTGTAACTTTGTTCACAGACTTGATACAGTGTCCCAAATCATATCATTTTGTAGTGCTCGTCGAGTTCTATCACTTTAAAGGTGGGGGGACATGAAAAAAATAATGTTCTCGAAATTCCGTTCAATGATGCCCCTCGAGGAGTTGAACTTGTGAGGGCGATGACTGAGGGTGCGGCGCCGCTACCGACTGAGCCACGCGGGCAGAGAGAAAGCGCACTCCCGATTGCATACATAAAGGCGAGGACGACAGCCGACAGTGACATTAAGCGTTGTACACCGTGACGGTAGAATGCATACTCTAGCTACAAAAAAAACTACGGAAAATCTCCTGTCCCCCCACCTTTAAGTTTAGTTAGTCAAAAATATTAATCTTAAAAGAAGCTATGACAGGGCCCGCACTTGGGTTCAAGCCAACAGGTCAAAAATCGCGCCCCAGTAAACGAGAGATTTTAGAAAGAGTTCGCTTCTGAAATGGCTAAGGATCAAACTTTTAAACTGGGCGAAAAAATCACGCGTTGCAACTCGTTGATTAAAATTAATTAGGTGAAATCCACGTCAACTTTGAAATTATTAAATCTCTTCTGGCCTAAAAGTGGGGCGCGTTTTTTGATCCATTGCCTTGGACCCAAGTGGATCCGTCTTTTGCAAGTATGATTAAAAGTTGAAATTATAACAAACTTTTTTTAGCGACGACAGTAGAGAAAAAAATTGAATCAAATTTTCACTCATTTTTTGGAACAGTAATTTTTGAGAAAATTTCATGAAACATTTCTACAATTTTCAACTGTGAAAATTGTTATTTTTTAGCTAAAACTAGGCCGTAATTTCAGATTTATGAGGATTTGCTGATTGGCCCAAAGTTTAATTGTCTTATCTGTTCTAAAGTTCATTAATGCGAAAAAGCTCGTCCAATCAAAAAAGTAATCGTATAAAAAATCATGAAGTTGGACCTGAAACAGTAATTTAAGAACATCAATTGAATTGTGAAATTCCAAAAAACAAAATTCAACATTATTTTAAGCGTAAATCTTTATTCAAGTCTGGTGGGTCAAACAGCAAAAAACAATGTTGTTGAAGAAAATTATTCTAGATTTTTTTTTAATTCCGATAATAGAAACAGTGATTTTTGGAAAATTCAACTTGAAAAAATCCAGAATTAAAATTAGAAATTTCGAGAAATCTTTTGCAAATACATAGTAACGAAAAAATTTGAAATTCAAATTCATTCAATCTTTGAAAAATTATTTTTTTGAGCAAATTTCATGAAACATTGATGTTTTTTTTTCATTTTCTTCTATTTTTGACTCTGAAAATAATAATTTCATAATTTTGGGACATTCAGATTTATGAAGATTTGCTGATTGGCTCTAAAGTTTAATTGCCTTATTGTTGTTCTAAATATCATCACTCCGAAAAACATTCTTCAATCAAAACAAACTTGTACAATAACTCAATCACTAGACCGGAAACAGTAATTTTTGTGAATACGGAAACGATAGTAAACGAAAGAGGAAGTGGAAGTAACAAGTTCAATTTTTGTAATGCTTATTTTAAAGCTCAACGGAAAAGTTCTAAAAATATGACATTTTTATTAAAAATCGTTCCAATTTCTTGTGAGTATTGTCTATTCCACATTAAAACTAGANNAATTGAATTTGGCAGTCAAATCAAAACGAGGAGAAAAACCGAAGTTAGCTTCCAGTGCGACAATGTGAGATCGGTTGTGAAGAGAGGGGTCAGCCATAAATGCATGTCGTTTGGCTGAACTATTCTTTTGCGCTCATGGTATTTTCCGGATCTTGACCTTTAGAAAAAATAATATTTTGGAGCTCGTAAACGTCTTCTTGATAGAAAATACTTCAATTGGAAAGATGACACAAAAAAGGAGTTGACC